CTTATCATAAAAATATGGGAAACGTTTGTTACACTGCCAAAACATTGTCTTTGCTGGTCATCCCGCTGCTCATTTTTCAGTTGTTTTTCTCACCGAGTCTCAAACAATTCAACTTAGTTTGTGGCAGCACCAAAAACAATGGTTCTGGATTATAACAACACCTTTCGAAGTAAATCCGACACAACTGAACAGGAAATAACACTTTCAAACCAGGAATAGTACTTTTTTTCCAATTTTTTTGCTACATAGCAATATTTGCATTCCTCCAAAGAAGAGAGTTGTAGTTTTGCAAGATCTTGTTGCTATTGCCCTGTGAGTACCTCTGTCTTGTTTGTCTTGACTCTCCATTTGTTTGCCTTCCATTACTGATGGCAGATACTTGTCTTTGGGTGGAAAAAAGTAGTCAAGTGCTGGCGCATCTCCCAAAACTACAACTCCTAAAATTTCAGAGCAATGAGCCACTGCAGTTCAAATGGGGCCAAACTGCACTCATTCGATGGTGTTAGAATGGCATGGGCAAACTCTGACCCTTCCGGGTGTTTTGGACTTCGACTCCCACAATTCCTAAATTGGCTGTAAGGAATTGTGGAGTTGGAGTCCAAAACACCCGGAGGACCAGAGTTTGCCCATGCCTGTGTTAGATGCATCCTAGCTTAGATGCCTTTGGTTGCAGGAAGCTTGCAAATGACTTTGCTAAGAAAGCAATTCTATTTTGGGTAAAGGGATCGCAACAGTCATGCCAACCGCTGACCACGCGATGGAGCCAGTTTCCTAAGAATAATGGTGGGAAAACTGTTTCCAATCCACTGTTTTGTTGGAACAAAACTATCCTGTCCTGAAAGCCTTACAGCACTTCTGGAAGCTGTAGTCCAACACATCTATAGGGCCCCAAGCTTTTAAAAAAGAGCAATTCAGGGTGCATTTACATGATAGAATGAATGCAGGTTGAACTGCTAGGATATCTTGGGATTTGTAGTTTTACAAAGTCAGTGGAACCTTCTGTGCCAAAGAATGCTGCTGCCTTGCCAAACTTCAAATCCCAGGACCCCATAGCATTGAGCCATGTTCAAGTGGGACCAACCTGCATTCATTCTACAGGGAAGGAGGGGAAGAACAAGGAAAGTGAGAGGATAGACAGACAGACGGAGGGATGGACAGACAGACAGATAGAGGGATGGATAGACAGACAGACATACAAGACAGATGATGGATGGATTGATGGATTGAAGGATTGATGGATGGATGGATGGATGGATGGATAGAGATATACATAGATAGAGGGATGGATAGACAGAGAGATAGACAAAGAGACATACAAGATAGATGATGGATGGATGGAGGGATGGCTAGATAGAGGGGTGGATAGATTGACAGGCAGACATACAAGATTGATGATGAATGGATAGATAGAGAGATGGATAACAAGATAGACAGACAGACAAGATACATGATGGATGGAGGGGTGGCTAGATAGAGGTATGGATGGATAGACAGACAGAGGGATTGACAGATAGACAGACAGACATACAAGATCGATGATGGATGGATGGATGGATGGATGGATGGACGGACGGACGGACGGACGGACGGACGGACATACAAGATGGATGGATGGATGGACGGACGGAGGGAGGGATGGATGGATGGATAGATGGATGGACAGACAGACGGATGGATAGACAGAGAGATAGACAAAGAGACATACAAGATAGATGATGGAGGGATAGATGGATGGATGGATGGATGGATGGATGGATGGAGGGAGGGAGGGAGGGAGGGATAGATGGATGGATGGATAGATAGATAGATAGATAGATAGATAGATAGATAGATAGATAGATAGAGGGGTGGATACCCAGATAGATAGACTGACAGACAGATAGACAAGATAGATGATGGATGGATGGAGGGGTGGCTAGATAGAGGTATGGATGGATAGACAGATAGAGGTATGGACAGATAGATAGTCAGACAGACAGACAAGATCGATGATGGATGGAGGGAGGGAGGGAGGGAGGGAGGGATAGATGGATAGATGGATGGACAGACAGAGAGAGGGATGGATAGAGAGATAGACAGACAGACAAGATAGATGATGGATGGACGGACAGACAGACAAAAATAGAATAAATACATAAACAATAAAATCAAAAACAAAGCAAAGAACTAAAAATAACAATATCATAATAAAATACATAATTTAATAATAAAATACATAATTTTAAAAAAATTGCTGAATAATATTATGCATCAGGGTAAAACCCAGTTCCAGCCAGTTCACCATCATGATACATTATTGATGTAGTTCAGCTTTTGATTAAGACTGCACCTGATCTCTCTGGGGATTCTGGGCCTGCTAGTCATTCTGATGAGACTGGGGATTCTGGGTTTGCAAGTCTGCAGGAGAACCAGCAAGAGATTTTGAGCCCTGAAAAGGAGAAGTTTGTGTCTGAAGGCCACATTCCTGAAAGGCAGTTCACTCGGGAAGCAAGGCCAGAAACAGATCAGAGTTCAGAGGAGGAAACTGAAAGTCCAGGTAGACAGACAAATTGTTGCAACCCAGAGCAGGAAACGAGACCCTAAGACCCCAATCCACCACACTTGACTGTGAGAAAAAAAATCCCTTTTTATTGATGAAAAATGGTTACAAAATAGAGAATAATGCAAAGTCAAGAAGCCACAGTAAAAATCAGCAATCAGAAATCCATGAATTAGATCAAAAACCAAAAGCAACACTGTAAAATCCTGGAACCTGTTAGCAATCCACTAACCATACTTGGAGCACTAGAAGCCTCTTGAGATGAAGGCCACGGGAAACAGGAGATCTGCCATGGTAATGCCTCAGTCTAAAACGATGCCTGATCTAAAGAGTCAACCCGGCGGGAGGCACTTAAAGCCGAGGAAACTGTTTCGTGACACGCCTCTGGGCTTTGAAGCCCTTGTTTCTTTTTCTTTTAATCTGGTTGACCTTCGCAGGCTCTGCGATTCACTCCTGTTTTTCCAAATCTGTCCTCTTCTATCCTCATTAAGGATCCCAGGTGTTAGCTTCTCTGGAGAGCTATCACCGCTTGGCTCTGAAACATTCTCATGAGAATGTGTTCTTTCACGTTCCAAGCCTTCCAAGCCTGCAGGAGTTTCTTCTACACTGACCTCAGAATCAACATTTTCATTAGCATCAGAAAATACATTTTCAGTAGCATGAGTAGCATCAGGAAATACAATCAGAGAATCAGGTTCAGGTTCACACCCAGGCTGAACCCCAACACGAATGAACAGTTAGATAGGAGATTTATGTTCCATCAACATAGAACTTCTCAGGAAAGTTTACGAAAGTCGAAATGCCTATTAGTCAGATTCCCAGGGGAGAAGGCATTATTTTCTTTAGTCCAGGCAACTGGTGTTTGAGATTCCAAGTTTTGAGAACTGTTCCTGAATTTCATGTTTTAGATTTACAGTGTTCCCTCACTTATCGCGGGTGTTACATTCCAGGACCACCTAAGATAAGTGAAAATCCGCAAAGTAGAACACTCCATCCACTCCACACTCCCCTTCCCCCTCTCACTGACTCAATTCCTTTGCCTTCTCTTTCCTCTCCACTTCCTCCCTTCCTCCCTCCCCTCTCCCCTTATTAGAGCCGCCATTCTCCCTCCCTCCCTGCTTCTCCACTGGCCTGGGGCTCTCTCTCGGTCGCTCGAGGAAGAAGCCCCGGCAGAAGCTGCCTTAGTGGCCCTCTCCGCAGCCCTCACCGGTGCCACTTTGGCTAGGCTCCGAGAAGGACGGGGCTCTTCGCCAGCCACTGTCAGGAGTCAATTTCTGACGGCATGAAGACATCATAAATTCCCTCCGTGACATCCTGACTGGATCATCCTGGCTGCCTCAGTTTTCTCTCTTTGACGTTTTGACATTTTGAAGCCAGCAGAGGGTGCTGGAAACCTTGTATTGGAACTTGTGAAGCAACAAGCTCTAATAAGGAAACTGAGAAGGAGGGGAGGTGGGCAGGAAAGGTGTATAAAAGGAAGTGGTGGTGGGACAAAGTCAGTAGTGTCTTTCTTTGCTGCAGAGAAACAAGCAATATATATTCATTTCCAATCAAAACCAGCCTGTGAGTGATTATTTAATATTGCTATAAAACCCTACAGTCTTACAGCCACACACACACCTTCCCCCGCCAGCCAGGGCAATGCTTCCAACTTCCAGGAAGCATATAAACGTCACTTCCCATGTGCCTACATCACCACCAAGGGATTCCTGGCTCTCCCCCCCCCCCCCAACCAGGCCAGCGCAAGAGCCGTTCTTCCACTCTGTGCAACTCAAGTCTGTGGCAGCATCTATGATGGTGAAACAACGTACTTTGATCATGGGTATACAATGTTCCCTCACTACTTGTGGAATTTAAAATTAATATTTTTTTAAAGAAAAATCGCCAAACAGCGAGTCTGCGAAAAGTGAACCGCGAAGTAGCAAGGTTTTTGATAGTATTCCTGTACTGTGATTTCTGTGGATTATGCTTGATATTTGGACTACGATTTTTTTATACTTTTTCCTGAATTGCTATTCATATATATTCTTCAATAAACTGCTTTGCTATTTCACCTTGGTCTGGGGTGTGTGTTAAGTACAGAGGTGGTTTTCCAGCCTTAGAATGCAACAGTTATAATTAATAATTTCAGGACGCCTTCTTCCATGACCATGTTTTTAGTTCTTTCCTAAAGGTGGCTAGAGAGGAGGCCTGTCTAATTTCTTTGGGAAGAGCATTCCAGAGCTGGGGAGCCACCACTGAGAAGGCCCTCTCCCTCATACCTTGTCATTTTTGGATTACTGCTATTTTGTATTTTCTATTCTACTGACTCTTTTGGAATGTCATTTTCCCCTTTTCCCTGCTTTCCCTAATTAACATTTTGAGATATTAACTACTGGACTCTTGTGTGGTGCTGGGTGAAAATGTGTTTCAGTGCTAGAGTGCAACATAAAGTTTCAGTGGAGACCTCTTTCCTCCTTACCTGATCCTTGAGGAGCCGCGCTGGAGAGGATCCACTTCACCAGGCAGCATTTCATCAATGCTTTGCGGGTCAAGCGTGGCCGTTGCCATTTGGCGTCCTCTTTCCTGCCGGGGGGCGTCTGGCCGGGGTCCCCCAAAAGGCTGCCGTCCGTCTCCTTACTCTCTTCCTACACAAGAACATAAACAGATTCATTGGTGGACTCCTATCCAAGCCCTAATCAAGGCTGACCCTGCTTAGCTTCCATGATCGGGCAAGTGGCTTATGGCAACCCCATGGGTTTCCTTAGGCAAGGAATATGAAGAAGATGGTTTTTGCAAGGTTTGCTGAGACTTCAAGGGATATTTGATAGAAAATCTATATATATATAAATGCTCTGTGCATAATAAGTACCTTAAAAACAAAAGAACCAATGAACGAAATTTATTTATTTATTTATTTACTTCGCTTATATACCGCAGTTCTCAGCCCAGGGGTGACTCACACCAAATTTGGTAACAAAATGTCTCACAACACAAGGACTGACCATCACTCAAAAAATTATGATTTTGACATTTGGGAGTTGTAGTTGCTGGGATTTATAGTTCACCTACAACCAAAGAGCATTCTGAACTCCATCAACGATGGAACTAAACAAAACATGACACACAGAACTCCCATGACCAACAAAAAATACTGGAAGGGTTTGGTGGGCATTGACCTTGAGTTTGGGAGTTGTAGTTCACCTACATCCAGAGAGCACTGTGGACTCAAACAATGATGGATCTGGACCAAACTTGGCACAAGCACTCAATACGCCCAAATATGAACATAGGTGGAGTTTGAGGGAAATAGACCTTGACATTTGGGAGTTGTAGTCACTGGGATTCACAGTTCACCTACAATCGAAGAGCATTCTGAATCCCACGAACGACAGAGTCAGGGCAAACTTTGCACACAGAACCCCCATGACCAACAGAAAATACTTAAGGCCATCTAGTCCAACTCCCTTCATGAGGGCAAGAAAACGTAATCAAAGTCCTCCTGACAAAGAGCCATCCAGCCATAGATAGAGATGGATGGATGGATGGACGGATGGACGGACGGACAGATAGAATTCACACACACACACAGATAGAGTATCCTAGACTTGAAAGGGACCCTTAAAAAAGGACAATGATATGTTGCATGTTCCAGAGTAGGCAAACCAGGCACTCTCCACATCAACACTGACAAAGAAACAGCAAGAAATACTGTTTACCCACAAGCAGAAAGACATTACATATATTAGAAACCAACACTTTCCCATTAATTTATTTTCCGGATCAACAGACTGGGCCACAGCAACGCGTGGCAGGGGACAGCTAATAACTTATAAAACAACTACCAGGATTGCATTGCACTGGGTCGTGAGAGTTCAAGTGGTGTTCAAGTGGTGCCAAACTACATTAACTCTACTGTGCAGACGCACCCGTCAAAGCACTGCATCCATTTGGATGGTTTCAAAGGTGCTGAGCCTATAGGGGTTTATTTAATGCTTAGAACATAGGTCTTTCACATACAGGACAGGCAAATCTAGCTAAACACATAGATAGAGTGAAAATGTGAATGCGTGTACGTGGCAGATGTGTACACTTACGTAGTCAGACTCTGGCCTCCACAAACAGCCACCAAAAGCCCTCCCTCCAAGCACATTCCAGGTTACAGTGGGTGCCATGAAATGTCGCCCAACCCCAACCACTGACATTGCAGGTTATAGTGAGCGCCATGAACACATAGCCCAATCCCTGCCAATGCCCTCCCCAAACATCATACTGCCCACCACCCAAAGAATGCTTTCATTCGGGGACAATTTATTCCTAGATGTTCTTTTTTTCCTCCAAAATGGACATCCTAGGGTTCCTTTCTCTCTCTAAATTTGCATGTCCCCACCCACTGCCTCTCACTTAACCCTTTCCTATCCATTCCTATGGCACACAGTGAGCAGAAATTGATCAGCAACAACTGAACATACTGCAGGCGTTTGTAGGAATGGATCTTGATTTTGGGAGTTGTAGTTCACCTACATCCAGTGATACTGTGACCCCCACTGAAAATGAACCGGGACCACACTTGGCACACAGCCGCCCCCCCCCCCCATGACCAGCAAAAAATATGGGAGGTCTTTAGGGGAAATTCACCTTGATTTGGGGGAGTTGTAGTTCACCTATATCCAAGAGCACTATGAACCCAAACACCGATGGATCTGGACCAAACTTGGCACACATACCTGATATGCTGAAATTTGATAACTGGAGGAGTTTGGGGGGAACTGACCTTATTTTCTGGAAGTTCTAGTTCACCTACAACCACAGAAATGGTGGCCTCCACCGATGATGGACCTGGACCAAACTTGGCACACATGACTAACTCAACTTATTGGAGGCTTAGAGGAGACTCACTCCCCATAGTGGGAGTTGTAGTTTACTCTGCAGCCAGAGAGCACACTGAACCCCATTGATGATGCATCTAGAGCAGTGGTTCTCAGCCTGTGGGTCCGCAGGTGTTTTGGCCTACAACTCCCTGAAATCCCAGCCGGTTTACCAGCTGTTAAGATTTCTGGAAGTTGAAGGCCAAAACATCTGAGTTTGACAACCAGTGCTCTAGAGCAAAGCCACCCAACATAACAAACTTTTTAGTACTGATGGAGTTTTTCAGAGTTGTAGTTCACACCCAACCTTATGCATTTTGGACAACTGAAAAACTGAGTTTTTCAAATAACCTGGACAACATCGGATACCTGAGTTAGTAAATACATAAAAAACAGATTATTAAATACAATACGAAATAAACCATTAAAATACTACATAAACCATTAAAATGCCACATAAATCAATGATGAGATGTGCCTTTAAAATACTACAGAAAATAATATATGAACTAGCTCCTGCAGAGTTAAAAACCGAGTAAACTTCGGTATGATTAAAACTTAAAGCAAGAAACACTTTGGATATAAACAACAACACTATGATGAAGTAAAAGCATTCCCAGAACAATCGGGTGTGCTATCAGAAATTAATCTATATACCTCTTGATTTTGTCATTTGGGAGTTATAGTTGCTGGGATTTATAGTTCATCTAGAGTCAAAGAGCATTCTGAATTCCACCAATGATGGAACTGAACCAAGCTTGGCATAGAGAACTCCCATGACCAACAGAAAATACTGGAAGGGTTTGATGAGCATTGACCTTGAGTTTTGGGGTTGTAGTTCACCTACATCCAGAGAGCACTGTGGACTCAAACAATGAAGGATCTGAATCAAGTTTGGCACAAATACTCAATATGCCCAGTTGTGAACACTGGTGGAGTTTGGGGAAAATAGACCTTGACATTTGGGAGTTGTAGTTGCTGGGATTTATAGTTCACCTACAATCAAAGAGCATTCTGAACCCCACCAACAATAGAATTGGGACAAACTTCCAATAATGAATCGCATTCCATCCCAATGCCTTTTCTCTCGCTCCTTTTTCCTGCATTTGGCTCAAAACTAGGCTACATTGTGTGCCCGGCGTGCCCTGGATTCTCGCGTGCGGAGGCTTGGATGAATGATTCAGAAATGCTTTGCATTCAGTGGAAGGGACTTTTCAGAGAGCGGAGAGCACACGCTTATCTGGCAGAAGGGCGCAGGGGATGCAGTAGCTCCATTTTTGACATTTATGCCTTTCTTTTATTGTTTCATTTCATTTTTAGCTGGTGCATTCATCCACTTTAAATTTAGATTCACCTCAGTTAGCTCTCTTACTCCACAGAATTGTGGGATATATATTTTTTCCATGTGTAATTGCTGGTCGGAGCATTGGATTAGGACTTGGTTGTCCAAAGTACAAATACATGCCCAACTATGGAGATCCCTTGGGCAAGTCACACTCAAGGGAATGGGAAAGCAATGCACAACCAGTGGCAATGTATGTGCATACTTGTGTTCCACGTTCATTACATATTCATACCCAAATTGCAGAACTGCAATGCACAACCAATGGTAACATATATGTATAATCATGCTCAATGTTCATTGCACATTCACAACTAAATTGCAAAAGTGCAATACACAACTAATGACAATACATGTGCATACTCATGCTCCATGCCCATTTCACATTCATACCCAAATTGCAGAACTGCAATGCACAGCCAATAGCAACCTATGTGGATGCTCATGCTCTCTGGACATTGTACATCCATACCCAAATTGCAGAACTACAGTGCACAACCAACAGCAATCCATGTGCACTCTCATGCTCTCTATCCATTACACATTCATACCCAAATTGCAGAACCACAATGCACAACGAATGGCAACCTATGTACATACTCATGCTCCATGTACCTTCTCATGCTTTCTATCAATTACACATTCATACCCAAATTCTAGAACTCCAATGCATAACCAATAGCAATCCATGTGCACTCTCATGCTCTCTATCCATTGCACATTCATACCCAAATTGCAGAACTACAATGCACAACCAATAGCAATCCGTGTGCACTCTCATGCTCTCTAGACATTGTATATCCATACTCAAATTGCAGAACTGCAATACACAACCAATGGCAACATATGTGCACACTCATGCTCCATGTCCACTGCAAATTCATATCAAATTGCCAAACTGCAATGCACAACCAATGGCAATCCATATACATTCTCATGCTCTCTTGCCATTACACATTTATATCCAAATTATAGAACTGCAATGCACAACCAATAGCAATGCATGTGCACATTCATGCTCCATGCCCATTGTACATTCATACCCAAGTTGCAGAACTACAAAGCACAACCAATGGCAATGCATGTGCATACTCTTACTCAATGTCCATTTCAAAGTCATACCCAATGCACAACCAATGGCAATCCATGCACATACTCATACTCTGTTCCCATTGCACATTTACACATATATTGTAGAACTGCAATGCACAACCAATGACAATGCATACACACACTCATGCTCTGTGCCCATGGCATATTCATACCCAAACTACAGAACTGCAATGCACAACCAATGGCAACATATGTGCATAGTCATGCTCCATGTCCACTGCACATCCATATCTAAATTGCAGGACTGCAATGCACAACCAATGGCAGTTTGTGTATAATGATGCTGTGTGCCAACTGTATATTCATACCCAATGGCAAAGCATGT